ATATTTTCTAGTAAATATATATATATATATATATATATATATATATATATATATAATGTGTTATTGTAATAAAGAAGTAATAACGAGAAGGTTAAGTCTGTGAATCGAATGACGTTGTCATTCAGGGGACAGAGCTGACTTCCCTCTCCATGGAGTAACCCAGTTGTAGTGAGCACTGGCCAAGCTTAACAGTGCTATGGAGTACTGGAGTGGTTTAGTTTAGTAATATCTGCAGGCTACTGACTTAGACAAGACTTCAAGGACTAGACAACACAAATAACTGAAAGAGTTCATGGACTTGACAACACAATTGACAGAAAGAGTTCATGGACTTGACAACTCAATTGACTAAAAGAGTTCATGGACTTGACAACACAATTGAATAAAACCTTTAAAAAAAAATATTTTAACAATAGTTAGGCACGTTTTATTATTTTTATTGTCCATTATTTTGATGACGTCACAATGGAAAATGTTGTAATAACAACATTCACAGATGGATGATGGATTATTTAACAACTAACAATGTATAGTTGGTTCTTTTGTCCAACCAGGCCACTTATGTACCCTATATACAGTCAATGAAATGCAATGATCAGTCCAGCGTTTCCTAGATGCTCAGTCTGTGGTGAAAGAAGACCGGTCGCCTGCCTATACTGTCAATCAATTAGTTGTTTACCGTAGAGCACACACAATGAATGTCGTATCACACAATCAGATGTCGTATCACACAATCAGATGGCTCATCAAACAATCATATGTCATTTCACACAGATGTCATATCACACATACGGATTTCATCACATAATCAGATTTCATATCACACAATCAGATGTCATTTCACCCATATGTCATATCACAATATCAGGGTTCATATCACACAATCAGATGTCAAATCACACCATCATATGTCCTTTTACACATATCATATACATATCACATAATCAGATGTCATATCACACAATCAGATGTCATATCACATAATCAAATGTCATTTCACACATATGTCACATCACATAATCAGATGTCATATCACACAAAAAAGATGTCATTTCACTCAATCTTAAGCAATCACAAATTCAAAGGTCGGTTATTAAAGATATTACATAATTTTACAAGGTAACCAAATCATTTGTAGAGGCAGTCACAACATTCCATACCAATCAACATGTTTATGTTCATACACCACATGTTTACAACAGGCAACATACAGGTTAACAGTGCCACATGAAGCTCAATAATGAATAGTCCATATTTACCATTCATCGCTACCCAATAAAACCATGCAGTCTAACGTTTTCTATAAACTAAGCAGTTGGAATAATCGTTTGTACATTCTAAAAACAAATATTTTTTTCTTTTATCTGTATAACTTGATTGACACAACACTTGCACCAATGGCCATAACGGTGGTCGGCCCATTTTTGTTAAGCAGTATCGCGGCCGGCTACGTCACAAACCATGTGTTCAAATACTAATTCACAACCTACAGCTAAGGAGGCCGAGGTTTTCATATAAGGTTGGGGCTATTAAAAAAAAATGTGAGACTCACTTATCCTGATTGTTGCAAGAAGTACTGGACGAGGCCTGGACCTGCCGAAAAAAAATCGATGAGGAACAAACTAGAGGGAACTGATTGGCAGCCGAACGGTTTATATTGGTACAAATCACCAAAGGGTGGGTGATTGTGTGTTTAGTTGTGTGGGGTTAGTGTGTGGGGGGGGACGATGGTTTGTGTGTTTGTGTGGGAGCAATAGTGTATGTGTGTGTTTGGGGTGGGGTGTGAGATGATTTGTGTGTTTATGTGGGAGCGATAGTGTATGTGTGTGTTTGGGGGGTGGTGATGGTTTGTGCGTTTGTGTGGGGGATAAAGTGTGTGTTGGGGGATGATGGTGGGTGTTTATGTAGAATGAGGAAGAGTGTGTGTGTGTGTGTGTGTGTGTGCAGTGGTGGGGGGAGGGGTTGTTAAGTACTACGTAAACACATCTTGCGCTTTGATGATGACGATTGTTTGTAAGTCCTGATAGGCGTAATATACTGGTGATGGAGGATGTTAGGACGGCAAACATCGGTGACTGATGATGTTTGGATGAAAAATAATGTCACAGACATACTTTCAAAACAAAACAACAACCCCCCCCCCCCCAAAAAAAAAAAACGTTGCCCAGTCGTCGCCGCATTCAACTTATCAGTGATGAATCTTTTTGTTATAACTGGAGATTTTCATAACAAAACGATTGTGGTTTTTTCGTCCCAGTAATACATGTAACAACTCATCCCAGACACTCACACAGAAGTAGTTGATGGCTAGAATGACTCAAATCGTTACAGCCAGGTGATCGCTTTGTGATTTTATATTTAAGAAAACGAACATCCGTGAAGTCGAATAAACCCGATATGTAAACAGACCATTAGTATGACATACACATAAAGTGAAGCATACAAAGATAGCGAAATATTCACACACACAATATTTCTCTCCAGATGACAAAGAAGACACGATGAAATCTTTGTTAGTTATTTACAACAGCAGACGACAATTACCTTACTTACATAGTTTGTTTTAAAATATATTAATAAACGCAGAAAATGATTGACCCACTTTGATGGGTAATTGAGAGGATATGAAAAGAATTGGCCGGTGGCCAGTGTGTTCATTTTAGTTCAAACCTCCCCCCCCCCCACACCACAAAAAAGGCATGGTTGATGCTAGGCTGAGACTAGCTTGTCCCACATTTCAAGCTGACACTGTCAGATCATATACATTTGAGTTGACACTGTCAGATCATATATTTTTGAATTGACAATGTCAGATCATATACATTTGAGTAGAAACTATTAAATCATATACATTTGATTAGACACTGTCAGATCATATACATTTGAGTAGAAACTATTAAATCATATACATTTGATTAGACACTGTCAGATCATATACATTTGAGTAGACACTATCAACTCATACACATTTGAGTTGACACTGTCAAATCATGTACGTTTAAGTAGACACTGTCAGATCATTTACATTTGAGTAGACACTGTCAAATCATATAAAAATCTTTGGCTTTCTTCATAGATATCCTTATAAGGCCTTAACGCAGTGAAGACTGTTGTCGAAGACCTAGTAGTATTTGACACATAATTGAAACTACAATCTCAGTGCGACTAGTTAGCTAAGACTGCGAGTTAACCACTTCTTCAAATTGCTCCTATTCATTTTTTTTTTAAACCAGTGAATTTTTCCAGGTAAATAAGCGCATGTAAAAAAAACAACAACAAAAATTTTTGTTCTCCTCTGAAAAAGAAGTCGTTTCAATCAGAGTGTCCCCATTTCAATAATTCATGTAATATATTCTGACCTGTCAGACACTGCTAATGTCAGACTCTGCTTATGCCGGACTCTGCTTATGTCTGCGTTGAAATGTTAACTGATCAGGTTCCGAATTCGGCGACTTGAGGATGTCAAGAGACTGTAATTGGTATTTACCCAATTGACCTGGTCAACAGCCTAACGCCATTATGATTGTTTTTGTTGTACCGCTCCGTTTCGTGCGTCGTAGGAACATTCCAATGCTAAAAAGAGCGTCAACTTTGCTTGTCTTGCGAACATTCTAGTACAGTCGAGAGTGCCAACCTTGTTTGTCATTCGAACATTCTAGTACTAACTAGAATGTTAGGAAAATGTTGTATGGCTCAGCTCAACAGATGGAGATGATAAGCCGGGGTCATAAGAGAGTAATCTTAGACCCTCACCAGAATATGTGTGTTAGTTGTTACTAACCAGACTGCCGGCCTTCTTTATCACGTGACATGTCGACTTCGTATCCATAGGACCATCAAGCCATGAACTAAGCAAATTTTCAACATTGAATAACTAAGAAGGTCAAAGAGAAAATCCGAACGATCTTTTTATTGCGGCCCTTGACTTGTGGGATTCAATAAGCTCGGCGCGGACGGGGGACAGGATACCCAGTTTTACAGACCAACATGTGGGGGTCAAAATGCTTTAAAAATGTCTGTTCTCGGATAACCCATTTCAATAAAGATCAAAAAGGTTCCTACATTAACTATACCCCATTAGTGCCGTTGGGACTAAATATAAACATTTGAGCTGATGGTGATGACATCGATTGACACACTATTTTACGGGATCTCGACCCTGTTCTATAAGATAATTGCACATTAATGAACACTGCGTGGTTGGGCGAAAACATTTGTGATGAGAAAGTGTACGTCAACACAAAGACCGCCTTAATTTCGTGAGCAAGATTTACTTCATACTAACATGATGTACAAGAGTACGACTGGTTGGGAGGACAAATTTATAGAGAAGATTTCTCTTTTGTGAACAAAGTCTAACTCATAATTCATGGGAAAATTCGACTTTTAAAAAATAGCAATATTTTTGGGGTTGCGAGAGGCAGAGCCAGGATTGTTGAAGGTAGAGTCAAGGGTTCGGGAGGCAGAGCCAGGATTGTTGAAGGTAGAGTCAAGGGTTCGGGAGGCAGAGCCAGGATTGTTGAAGGTAGAGTCAAGGGTGCGGGAGGCAGAGCCAGGATTGTTGAAGGTAGAGTCAAGGGTGCGGGAGGCAGAGCCAGGATTGTTGAAGGTAGAGTCAAGGGTGCGGGAGGCAGGTCCAGGGGCATTGGATGTAGGTCCAGGGGCGTTGGATGTAGGTCCAGGGGCGTTGGATGCAGGACCAGAGGCGTTGGATGCAGGACCAGAGGTGTTGGATGCAGGACTAGAGGTGTGGAGAGACCAATAAAATCAGGTTTACTTTCATTTTTTAACAACGTTTCTTTTCTCATTATTTTTCCTAGTGCATTTTGTGTTTCTATCAAGCTAATTAAGGTGAAAAATCCATCTATCAAGCTAATTAAGGTGAAAAATCTACCATAACAGAATTATTGTCATTTTGATTCGTGTACAGATTAATTTTAGCGTCCATAATCCAATGTGTCATAAAGCTGCCTCGGTGTGAGAGACCGTAGATATAGCGCTCAGCCCATAAAGCTATAAACAGGAAATCACTGAATGAAAAAAGTAGACATTTCCCATGGGCGAGCTACTCTGTTTGACTATAATTTGAGCGTGCTCCATAGAAATAATGGGATCCGTTTTTCTTATCCCCCCTGGTCCAAGATCACACATAACTCTCTCAGCCCAACATTGACCAATCCACTTTCTTTTCATCCAGTTCAAAAGAGGTAGATAATGTACTTTCTATCCCATCAGGAAAAATGTACTCCAGTTTAAAAGTACACACAAGGATTGGAGCTATTCATTTTCTAGATGTGATCTAACATGTGACGCATGAATATACAACCAACGCCGATGGTGATCTCTGACCTGCCTGGAGCGGACAGGGAGAGTTACAACGTATATTATAATAAACTTCTCCAATTTTAATTTTCGTCATTTATAAGTAACATTCTGAAGAGCCCCAGGTAATCCCTGTACTTGAGCCCCACGGAATCCCTGTACTTGAGCCCCACGGAATCCCTGTACTTGAGCCATACGGAATCCCTGTACTTGAGCCCCACGGAATCTTGTACATGCACCCGGTACCTCACCTAGCAATGTTTTCTACACCGAATTTAAACCCAGCAAAGACCCACATGTTCCCCATACTGACTCCCATTCTGACTCCCCACACAAACTCCTCAAACTGACTCCCAAAACTGACTCCCCATACCTACTCCCCATAATGACACGTCATGTTGAATTCCCATACTGACTCCCCAAATTGACTCGCGACACTGACACCCGACACTGACACCCGACACTGACTCCCCATACTTACTCCCCATAAAATTACACCCCTTACTGACTACACATAGTGACTCCCACACTGACTCTCCATCATGACACCCCATAAAGAAACCCCATACTGACTCCCCTTACTGTCTCCCTGTATTGACTGCCCGTACTGACTCCCCATATTGACTCCCCATACTGACTCTCCACACTGACTCCATGTAAAGTGACTCCCATACCTACTCCCATAATGACTCTCCGCACTGACTCCCCGTAAAGTGACTATCATACTGACTCCCCATATTGACTCCCCATCCTGACTCCCCACATGGACTCCCCACACTGACTCCCCACACTGACTCTCCCCGCTGATTCCCCGTAAAGTGACTCCCATACTGACTCCCCATACTGACTCCCTACACTCTCTCCACGCTGATCCCCCGTAAAGTGACTCCCATACTGACTCCCCATACTGACTCCCTACACTCTCTCCACGCTGATCCCCCATAAAGTGACTCCCATACTGACTCCCCATACCGACTCCCTATATTGACTGCCCGTACTGACTCCCCAAACTGACTCCCCACCGTGACTTCTAACACACACACACACAAAGTCTCCCCGGGCATGTTTGAGAATTATGTTGCACTCACCAGTGCTTGGCCAGCAGAAGCGAACTCAAGCTCCAGTCGACAGGTTACGACACTAGGTAACGAGTTTGTTCAAATTACCCGGGCTTGGGAAAAAAAAAAGTTCAACATTGGAAGACCAGCCGCTGAACTGTTTTAAGTTTTAAGATGATATTTTTTTCGACGCCAATTTTCTTATTTTTAGATTTATAACAAGAGATTTAAATAAATCCTGAAGTATATCACAAATCAATAAATTATTTATGATACTGCCAGTAAGATCTATTTATTTTAGATCCTATAAAGTTCAACAATTGTATTGAAAAACGTTGGCGATAATGTTTAACTAAAGTAATTATTTGAAAATGTCTGGCTTTTGTATGTACATAAATATTATATGTAGCCATTCCTTAAGAAGTTTTAAAAGCTTTCTAGGAAAAGAATACACCGAGGGCGCAAAGTTCCGCAACAATGCTGGAATTTGAATTTATCCGAGAAGTAAATTGATTTCTTGGTCTCGAACTTTTTGTAATTTCGTGGATGGCAAGGGGAAGGGCTGAACACAGATTTTTTTTTTTTTATGGGGTCACGAGTTGTTATATTAATATAACAAGATGGCAAAATGACGCCAGCGGCTGCAATTGCACATTAGTTAACATTACAGTGGGAAACCAATCAATGGAATATAATTATGAAATCACTCCACAAATCTTGAACAAAAATTGTGACCATAAAATTTTGGAGTTGTAAAATCAAGAGACTTTCTTAAATAATCATTGGCAGCTTTTAAAAAAAATGGTTGAGACATTCACAAAGTTCAAAATAGGGAGACAATGGAACAGTGTTATAATGTCATTGAAATTAGAACAGTGTTTAATGTCATTGAAATTCGAGCCACCAATCAAAAGCACAAGTGGACAATCGTTATGGATTTTACATACGGCACTTAATACAAATATGAGGATATTTCGGTGATTACATTTTGAGACATTTCTCCGAGAGTTGCCATCCATCACTGTGGTGCTGCAGTCCGTACACGGCTTTGGCCTGCTTCCTCACATCCTTCCGCTCAGACCTAACTGATATTTTCTTTCCCATGCTTGTATTCCCAGCTGCTGTAGATGATCAATCCATTTAAGCCTAGGTCAGCCTTGGAGCCGTTTTCCTCTGGGGTTTTGGTGGTGTACCCTCTTCACTCCGCTGTCATTTGGCACTCTTTCTAAGTGTATAGCCCAGCGTAGCCTGCCTCTTTTTTTATTTCTGCTACTAGCGTGGGATCCTGATATAGACTATACCATTCCTGGTTGGTTCGTATTCTCAATCCATATTCATCCTTTGTTGGTCCGTACATTTTCCGGAGAACTTTCCTCTCCCATGTGTTTAATACGTTTTCAGTCCTTTTTGCTAAGGTCCAAGTTTCACTTGCATATGTTACAATTTGTCTTAGTTATTATTGTTTCCTTCGTTTTTCTTGTAATGTGTTTACTTTTGAGTATTTTCTGACTACTGGGGAATGACCTGTTTCCGGCCGATATTCTTTCTTTTATTTCTGTTAGTAGTTCATTTCTTTCATTTAATCAAGATCCTAGGCATTTGAATTGATTTGCTTTTTCAAAAGTGGGGTTTCTAATTTTATTAGTTTCATCCGCCTATTTTTGCAGTGATGCGTTTTCTAATTCAAGGAAAGCTTTTGATACGTCTTTACTACTTTTACGTCTAGTGCTGTGTCATAAGATTATGCAAGATACTGAAGTTGTTGGTTGACAAGAGTGCCTATTGGTTGTGGGTCTTGGATTTGCCTCAGAAAGTATCCTGTTATTACTCCTAGGGTGTCAATATGTATGCTTCTTATAACTCTCTCTAATGGTAGGTTAAATAGCATACAAGACAGTGAGTCTCTTTGTCCTAAGTCTCTTCTATTCCATTGCATATTCACCCAAACCTTGATTTTTCTTTTAGATGTATAAGTCATGTCAGTTTGTAGGGCGTGCAAAACTCATGCAGAGTGTCATATAAATATTTTCTTTAGATGCTGTCATATGCCATTTTATATTCCACATAGAGTTGATGTACTGGGATATCGTAATCGTAACATTTCTCTAATAGGCATCTGATGGTGAAAATCTGATAAGACTTTGATCTATTTTTTTTTAAAATCCACACTGGTAGCCACTTTGTATTTGTTCAGTGTACAGTCGTTGTCTTTTGGCAATTCCTTTTGTTTTTATTTTGTATGTAATATTTAATCCGGGAGTTTCCGCCCATCATAATTTCTGAATGGAAGGATGTGGTGGAGCAGGCCAGGGCCCTACATGGGCTGTAGTGGTGGAGCAGGCCAGGGCCCTACATGGGCTGTAGTGGTGGAGCAGGCCAGGGCCCTACATGGGCTGCAGTGGTGGATCAGGCCAGGGCCCGACATGGGCTACAGTGGTGGAGCAGGCCAGGGCCCTACATGGGCTGCAGTGGTGGAGCAGGCCAGGGCCCTACATGGGCTGTAGTGGTGGAGCAGGCCAGGGCCCTACATGGGCTGCAGTGGTGGAGCAGACCATGGCCCTACATGGGCTGTAGTGGTGGACCAGGCCAGGGCCCTACATGGGCTGTAGTGGTGGAGCAGGCCAGGGCCCTAAATGGGCTGTAGTGGTGGAGCAGACCAGGGCCTACATGGGCTGTAGTGGTGGAGCAGGCCAGGGCCCTACATGGGCTACAGTGCACTGATGATGATGATGATCCTTATCTATACATATTATTTACACAGCATTTCTTGTAGTTCTACAAGTTCGAATATACAATTATTAGCCACATAACTAACAGAGATACCCAATATGAGCTCACTATAACAATAACTAATTACATATAAAATGTACAACAAACCCTTAAGTATCATTAGGTGTATGAACTTGTGACATAGCTTTCAACAACCGGTCTTTTTGTCATGGGGATAAGGCCTCCTGTGTTACTATGTTGTTGCTGAAACTTTGTGCGATACCACTAATACAAGTCCAGAAATACCGCAAATAACATTTCAGCAGTACCACAACACACCTTTCAAGCAATACCACAAATACCATCCCAGCAATTCCACAAATACCATTCCAGGGATACCACAAATATCATTCTAGAAATACCACAAATACCATTCCAACAATACCACAAATGCCAATGCGAGGAATACAACACAACAGACCCTTCCAGCAACACCACACAACATCATTCCAGCAATACCACAAATAGCATTCCAGTAATACCATAAGCAGTAAGGTCCAAAGAAAATTTGGACTTTCCTCTTCTGGTTAGTCCAGGGTCGTAAACATAATAATGAGGAGACAGCCCATAAGGCTCAGTTTTGAATACACATACACACAGATCAAATCATTGTCGACCTCTGATCGTGTTGTGGTCTTTGTACACACAGAACAATGCTAAAAGACTTTGTCTTAGCAGTCCGTGAGACATGCTTCGAGCAGTGAAACCTGTCT